GGAAGCCCCCTGCAGGTGGCCCCCAAAGTGTGCTCCTGCCAAGTAAATTCATTTTCTACACAGCTTGGAGAACGGGACCTGCTCTGATGCTTTGAAAAATCAGGAATGTCTATGTCTATGGGTTTAAGGATGTGAGGTTAAGGACAAGGTTCTCTCTGCTTTTATTAGGGAAAGGATTTCACGTCGTGTGTTGAAACCTCTGGCCAGCAGAAACAGCACATACGACCTTTGAGACAAAGGCTGTCCAGAGGAACTGTGGCTGCCCCTGGATCCCTGGAAGTGTCCAAGGCCAGGTTGGACAGGGCTTGGAGCAACCTGGGATACTGGAAGGTGTCCCTGCCCATGGTAGGGTTTGAAATGAGATGATCTTTAAGATCTTTTTTTAACCCAAACCCTTCCATGATTCTATGAAGCACCTAGTTTTGAGAAATCAAGGTATCTAAGCACTTGTATCATTTTGAACACAAGAAGAAATTTGGTGATATATTTTACAGTATTGGGACTTTTTGGTTTTAGCATATTCATATTAATGGAAATCTCTTTTTTGGGGAAAATTATTTGTTTATAAGCATCAGCCAGGTTGGTATTTGACCAAAGAGGAGCAGATATTTGACCAAAGGTGAGAAATTTTCATGAGGGCGGAAGAAAACTGTAAGTCAATGTTGTGAGCATCCTTAATGCTTGTCCAACATGTTTGAGCTTGTTTTGTTTTGTTATATTTGGTTTTCTGGTATGTTTTATCCTATCAATGACATTAATTATGGAGTAATTGCCTTAGTAGCATGTAACAACTCTCCTCTTTTTTTAAAATAGATTTTCACACAATGTGTAAACTTTGCTGTATATGTGCTACGTTTCTTGTGTCATGAAATAACATGTAGACAAAATAATGTTTTTCCTGTCAGAAATTCAATGGGCATCTAAAGCAAAGTGACAGGTGGTTAAATAGCTGCATTTAAAGGATGTCAAGAAGATTTTTTGGACAGGTACCAAAACCCAATGCCAAAAAGAAGGCCTAATACCATCTGTTTTGTTAGCAGAGAGATGCAATTATACATCAGATTTTAAATTACGTGAAATGCCAAATTCGTAACCTTGATTTTTGGGTCAAATCTAGCTTATCTAGATTGTGAGTGTTTTTATTTACTAGTGCAGTTCCTGACCCTGAGCCCACACAGGTAAACGAAGATGTTTTCAATCAGCCCCATTTTAAAGTCATAGGAAGCTCTTCAGCTGCATTTAATTTTGTTTTGTATTACATGTAAATCCAGATGCAATGTGGATTTAATTAATCCAATTTCACTGCATTTAAATGTACACATTTGCATTGTGTTTATTGGCAATTGGTTTTATCCATTTGTTCAGCATTTTTTATGACCAATGAAACTACTGAATATTTAGAGATCTCTCCCCTTCCGAGCGGGAACAAGGAGTGTAGCTCTGAATTAAATCGGTCTCAGACATAAACTGGGGATAAGACTAAAATGTCAAAATATAGCTGCATAATACAGTGGGGAAATGATATCACTATTTTAAAGTAATAAAGTGCACTGTGCTAAATTATTTGAAAAATCATTTCAGCAAGCTGTCTAGGTGGTTTGTTGAGGGGAGGAGGACCACTTTGAAACAAATAATGAAACTGATATATTCAGAGACTTTTTCCTGCCTCTAAAAGGTGCCTTGGAAATTATGATTGTTCAGATTTAGTCTAATATTTAGAAATACTCACTGCAGAGTTTTCTCTTCTTTGTGAGGAGTCCATGTGGCTTAAATGGGATTGCTGAGATAATCACACTCTGCTGTTTCTGTTCCAGGGCTAATGTTAGGCATGAAATGTGAGTTGTCATGTTGGGAGCTCCTCTTTCAACGACCTGACCAAAGCAGCTACAAATGCTCTGGGGTTTGTGAGGAGTCAGTTGGGAAAAGAACAAAAGGACTGGGATCTTTCCCTGTCTGTGTTTAGCTGCTCGGTTTGGCCTTGCTGGGAATGCTGTGGCTCAGCTGGTGTCACTGGCTCTCTTCAGCCATCCCAGACCTTTCCTTTCACCTTTGGATGCTTGGCCAAACCTCAAGGCCTTGATCACAACATGCCCTGAGGAAATGTCCCCATCTTTCTTATAAGCCCCCTTTAGGCACTGGGAGGGGCTCTAAGGTCTCCCTGGAGTATTCTCTTCTCCAGGCTGGACAATCCCAGCTCTCCCAGCCCGTCTCCAAAGCACAGGTGCTCCAGCCCTGGCAGCATCTCCATGGTCCACTGCTGATCCTATGCAGAGAGGGACACCAAAGTGTTAGAGGAGAGCAGGGATTCAGCCAAACCTGCATCTCCTGGTAGACCTCCACTTGCTCCACAGCACAGGCACCAAAGTGCCACAGGGACAAAACACATTGAAATGTGGGTAAAAACAGGCTGAAGGAGGATTCAGCAGCGGGTACAAATTGGAGGCTTCCTGAACACATGGTGAGGCTGGATAGGTTCCCCCTGGGGCAGCAGGAGCTGCTGATCCATGGGCAGAGAACTGTGGAGGCTGGAGACACCTCGTTCCCCAGGCCCTGGGCAGGGAGGATGCTCAGGATGATGCTCAGCTCCCCTGGGTCATCTTCTTCTGACAGTCTGACGAGGAGAAGCAGCACTGAAGACATGAGGTGAGCTGTGAGAACATTCATCTGATGAAGAGTGTTTCCTCTGCCAGCTTCCCTCAGCATATATATATATATAATATATATATGTATATAAAAGCATTCTGGATATTAATAGCAATAACACTTTGTGACAACGGGTGTTTCAGATCAGTCTCTGTTTGAGGTCTAACGGAGGCACACGAATGTGCAAAGTTTGACAGGGCTGATTGTTGCAAATCTGAAGAGGCATTAAGAAAACAGAGAAAAATAAGCTTTTAAATGGTCTGAAAGGGATCGTTGGGGTGTCTCTGGCACTGCAAAGAAATTGGGTTGTATCTGCCAGGGAGATGCTGCACGTTTGGTGATGAAATGTGTTAATTTTTGTGGGAAACAACAGAATTAAATCCTGCTTTTAGTGGAAAAGCCAGTTCAGCCTTAACTGCAAAGCTGCTAGCAATGACTCCACAATATATGAAATATAATAATTATGATAATTAATAAAGATAATAATACAGTAAAACCTTGCTAATGACTCAGAGGCTGCTTACTAATTACTGAATTTTGTGGATAAACAAGCCAGAATAATGCATCATAAAATACACTTTGTTCCATTATTTTGACAACTCTCATTTAGTTTTAATTATTTATACTTCATAATATACCAGTCACTCTGCTTGGGAGGGTTTTACAAAAATAATGAAGCTCTAATAATGTGACATGTCAGTTCAGTATTTGCTGAAACAGGGAGAGAGGGAAACCAGTCCTTTCTGGGTGTGTGTAAATCAGGAAGGGCACAGATCAGCTGAGAACAGATATTCAAAGTTTTAATGCAAAATATTATACATCTCTGTAATGCCTTTGACCTGGAGCCCTGGAGCAGCTTGCCTGGTGGAGAACTCCCCCAAGCCGACCTGCTTTGCTGCTGAATGGAGAGGGATCGATGCTGATTCTCCACAAAAATCATAGTGTTCGAAAAATAATAATAAATGTGAAGCAGTTTTTGTGCCCAAGTCAATTTTTATCCTTAAATCAATTTTTTTCCACCATCACGAGGGCTGAAAGCTTGTTTTTAATTTAAATGAGAGCTACGATTTTTACATAATCACTTGATTCCTGGAGCTGGCATTCCCTCGAAACCCCAGCCCGCCTCCCCCTTCCTTGAATTTGGCAGGAGTTGGCCACGCTTTTGCAATGAAAGACGCTCGTGGAAGAACTCAGCATTTATTTAGCTCAGCTTTCCAGCTACAGAGAGTCCTGTAGGGTGCACATGGCAAATTTGCCTTCGGAGTCATGAGGTTCTTAAAAAAATAAATATATAAACAAACCCATTTCTAGCGGAGGTTTGCCAGAAAACTGACTCCATCAGTCCTGTGAGCTCTCTGGGAGCTTATGGATCGGCCGCCGTAACTTTCAAGCGTTCCCCTCTATCTGGGAATGGGATAACGTACTGCAAAAACACTCCGGATATAATATTCTCCCCCACCGGGCCGGTTCTCTAAAGGGATCTGTTGTGAGATGTTGGAAGGGAGCGGGAAAGCGAGGAAGGGAGACCCCTGCGCGTCCAGCCTGTTCCCCCTCCCCTGTTCCACCCTCCCTCCCCACGGCCACATTTGGGGGTTCCATTCTGCTGTGCCCTGCGAGTCCCGGCCCGCGGGAGTTGGATGGCAGAGAGGGTGGCCATGGATGGGTGCTGCCTTCCAGCAGCAGGGTCCATAAAGACGGGAGCGTTGGAAATCCGGGTGGTGGGAGAAGGCGGCTCTCCGAGCCTTGGGGAGCCGATGCCAGGTGCAAAGGCTGGGGCTGGCTGTTCCCTCCGGGGTGGGAGAGCGCGTGGGGAGGGCGCTTCCAGAAACGGTGCACTTAGGGGCTCCAAGCCTATTGGGGGTCCCTAATGGGGTCCTATTTAGGGCGCTGCAGAGCATCCTTCACCGGCGGGTGGGCGCCAGGTGCGGAGGGAAGCGCTGGGCACCGTCCTGTGTCGGGAGAGGGCACACCGGGCACGGCGCTCCGGTGCGGGCTGCGGGGGGGGATGGAGGGGGGCACACAAAATGTGACAGGAGGAGCGGGAAGCGGCGTCGCTGTTTCAACCTCCCCCTCGCCGGGGCGCCCGGGCACGGGCGAGAGGGGCCGCACCGGGCCGGCTCCGAGGGGGCTCCATCCCTTCTGCCCCAGCCCGGGAGGAGCCGCCCGGCCCCGCCGCGAACAATAGCGGCCCCGGCGCGGGGCGGTGCGGAGCGGGGCGGGCCGGGGGCCGCCGCCCGCCCCCCCTGCGCCGCCGCCCGCCCTCTCCCCGCCCTCTCCCCGCGCCAGAGGCACCGCCGCCGCCGCAGCCGGGTCCATGCCCGCTGGAGCCCCCGCCTGCCGCCGCCCGCAGCCCCGGCATGGACGTTCGGTTCTACCCCTCCGCCCCCCCCCGCCGTGGGCTCCCTGCCCGGCGCAGACCCCACTTGCCTCGGCCCGCTGGATTATTATCACTGCAACAAGGTACCGGCGCGGGGGGTCCCCCCCCGGGGGGGCGGCCGCGCTCCCCGTCCCGCCGCTGCTCCGCGGGGAGAAGGGGCAGGAAAGTGCCGGCGGCGCCGGGCTCCGGCGGGAGGGAATTTTGAAAGTGGTCTGGGAGAGGAGAGGGGGGAGCCCGAGCCCGGGGCGCTGCTCGGCGGGGCGGGCCGGGAGCGGAGCGCGGGGGGAGCGGGTGTCGGTGTGTCCGTGCCGGGCTCGTTTAACCTTCTCCGTTCCGGGGGCGCTCGGCCCGGAGCGATGCGCGGGCTGGGGGGGGGCGGGGGGGTTGGTGGTGGTTGTTGCGTTTGTTGTCGGGTACTTTTTTCCTGTTGTTCTTCGCCGTGTTGTTGTTTTGCACCTTCTTCGCAAGCCGGGTCGCGGCTCCTCCCGAGCGGGGGCTCTGGCCCCCGCCTCCGTCCCCCCACCTGCCTGCGCGCCCGCGGAGGAGACACCCAGCCCTGGGGGGTGAGGGTGTCTGTGTGCCTCCCCAGACCCACAGCGCGGCGGCGAGACCTCCCTAACCCACATTTCCCCCGCTCGCTGCAGCTGCAAAGCGAAGCACCCTCCTCTTGTAACGGGAGAGGGATGCGCAGGGGATATTTGAGAGCGCGGAGGTGCTGTAGGAAATTTCCTTCATCCTAGAAAAGGCGAAGCGGAGGGGATAGATGCTCCTTCAGGGATAAGGAGTTCTCTGCTAGTATCGTCTTCCTTGGTGTGGGTAAACAGCGCTGATGTTTCAGCTACAAAGCCGTGGGATACGGATCCCTTTGGAGGGAGGGGGATCACCCGAGACAGAATCCTTGCTGCCTCCCGGGCCAAATTCGGGTAATTGTTTTGAAAAAGTTAATAAGGGAGAAAATACTTTCCTGCATTGGGACGGCAGCTCAGGATGCTCTCGGCTCATTTCAGTGTTGTGTTAGTTTGTGATCAAACTCTTTCGACAGAAGCAGAGGGAAACCTGCGTGGCTTTCCAGACACGGCAAATTAGTCTTTATGTGTCAGGGTATGTATTTAACTGTTCTCCGCCACTTGGGTTATTTATATCTTTTTATTAAGTTGTAGCAAACCTAATAGTTCTCATTTATTTCGAGATGCCAGATTACGCACAAAGGAAACAACTTTCGTTGTTTTCGCCTGTATCCGCATGCCGCCCGTTTCAAACTGGTTTATTATCATTGCCGTTGCTCTTAAAATGCTAAATATGCTCTTAAAATACTTAACGAGAGCTGGGTCACCTGGGAGCAGGACACCCGTGCCACTGAAACATCAGCCCGCGGTGTGTGAAAGCCGAAATCTGGGATCATGTGAGCGTGTGCCACTGGGAACTGCGGCTGCCCTCGAATCCTGCTGGCTTTAGGAGCTCGATTTTACCAAGAAGTTGTTAGATGTCAGCATGGTTTTAGTTTGCCGTCCAGCGTTCCGTGCCGGAGCCGGGGCTGGCGGCCGTGCCCGCAGCGCCTCAGCCCCGTGCCCCGGGGCTCGGTGGTCCCGTGTGCCCCCGGCAGTGCCCACCCGAGCCTTGGGGCACGGGGCCCCTCGTCGTGAGCTCATCCGTGGCCTGAATCCCTGAGATTAGTCCCGGATTAGGCGGTCGCAATTGATGCGCTGCGGCCGGGAGGCTGCGGGGAATCGCCTCCTCTGCGTCTGCAGCGAGCTCAGCCCGGGCGGGCGAGCGGGTGCGATGGGTGCTGGTGCCGGCCAGGGTGGATGGGACACCGGAGAGGAGCACCCCAGGTACTGACCACTGCCACCAGATGCTGCTGTTGTCACTGCTACGGAGGATCTTAAGGCAGCGGGAGAAGAAAGGAAGTGACTTACCCTTTGCTGATATTCAGGGCGCTTTTTTTTTTCCTCCCCCCCCCCTTTCTTTTCTGAGTTATCAAATGACATTTGCTTATGCACAGCCGTGCACGTTTGTCTGTGGGATGAGGCTGCTGGAAGGAAGCCAGAGACGAAATGGTTGACTTTGTTTTCCCGGCCGAGTGCAGGTATAAGGGTTGTAACTTTGGCGTCAAACCGTGGAGCGGGTGGTGGTGGCTCCTGCTGCCTTTGCTCTGGAGAACTCCGGCTGGTGTGGGGTGGGATGCCACCAAGGATCACCCACAGCACACTGTTATCTTGTGCCTGCCACGGAGAGCACTGCCTGAGCTCTCCTGCTTCTCGCAGCCACACGGGATACTCTGGGAAACTCCAGAACCTCACACCAGTCCCAATCCCATCGCTCCTGCCTGGTGCTGGCAGCTCAGCTCAGAGCTGGGCTAGAACAGTGTCTGCCTCAAAGCATTTCCACTTCATAAAGCTCCAGAGGAGGGTAGGGTGGACTGGAAAAATCAGAAGTTCTCCCACTATCGCATGCAGATATCCTGGATAAAACCCATCTCTAGGAAGGACCCTCGGTGAGGAGCATTTACAGGCCCTTCGCTGTCTTCTGCTTGGCTGAGTTTAGGGAAGGGCTCTAAAACCTTTTGATTTAAAGGATTTGTTGTGTTCAGGTTCACCTTTTTTTTTTTTTTTTGTTCCAAAGGGCTGCTTCATTTATTTATTTATTTGGGGAGAGGCAGTGAGGCTGGGAAGGACTGTGCCGTGTCACTGTGCATAAATAACTCACTGGGAGGACAGCAGAGCCCTGCCCATCGCTGTGAGCTGCTGTGGAGATGTGCCTGAGCCCAGAGCATCCTGAAATGTTAATGGAATTGTTTTGTGCACTTACTGGACGTGATATAGTTTTACTGGGAGGTCTCCCATCCCACCTGTGCCCTGCAAATAAGCCACAATTTCTCTTTGCAGCTACAGAGGGCCCTATTGCACATCAGCATTTCCATTTCTGAAAGGACAAGGGATGTTTAGAAGGATAATGAAATGGGAATGTATGTTCAGTCAGGGCCACCCCCGAAAGGGGGTATTTGCACCTTTTCTTTAACCGCTTCCCCAGCATCCCTGTTTTCCCTCGAAGGACTGGCCACTGGGAGTGGGATGGAGGGGGTAGCAAGGGATTGGACACCCATGAGTGGATAATGGGATCCCTCCCACCCTGTCGGGCAGGGTGAGAAGGAGCCTCCCCCACTGCTGCCTGTGTTTGGTGAGGAGTTCTGATGCATCGGGAATACCGGTGGCACCAAGGCAGGGGAAAAGGGCTCCCCGTGTAAAGCAGTCCCTGTCACCTGATCCTGCAGGGAGCAGCCTGCCATGGCAGCTGGGAAGTGGAGCCAACCCCAAACTTCCTGGTGCTCGCAGACTGGAGGACTGATGCTCCTTGGCAGGATTTTTAGGACTGGAGTGGCTCAGTGCAAGGTGTGGGGGTGATGAGGAGCAGCACCTTCCCAGAGCCACCCCGAAGGACCCCGCTGTGAGGAGTATTTCCCACGCCGATGACAACCTCTCGCCTCCTTCCCGTGAGCTGCATCCAGGACCTGCTCCAGCACTGGGACTGCACAGCAGGAACATGTCTTGTGTCTGCACAGTGGCCACGAGGGACTGGGGATGTTCAGCTGAAAGTGGTACTGTCTGTGCAAGGAGCCCTCGTCCAGACCGCGACACCCGTCTGTGTCATCGGCCACCTGAACCCTGCTGAAGGAAACACTTACCTCTCTTTTGGATTCCTCATTTAAATCTGGGTCTAAATCCCCTTTTTCTGTTCCCTCTGGCCTTTTTCCTGGGGCATTGGTGTCTGCTGCAGACCCCCTCGTGCTCCCTTGCCGTGAAAGTGGAGCTCTCACAGGATATCAGGCTGCCCGTGTGTTGTGATGGTGTTGTTAAGTAAGAGGCAGCGTGTTCCTGCACCACCTAAGGGCATTTTTGGTCTATGGTGGGGTATTTTCACATCCCTCTAGTTGCTTCAAGAAAATTTGGGGATTTTTTTCCCAGTTAAGCTCTAGAGAGACTCTTCAGCTGTACTTCACAATAAGTAAACCATGGGAAAAAACACAGTTCAGTAACACCGGGGCTCGTTTTGCTCTTAGCAGAGCTTTAGCAACGGCGTGCTGGCTGACATACCAGCAAGGAAGGATTTTCCCAGATCCTAAATTGTGTGTGTGAGTCCACAGAGTACAGGAGGGAGTTTTTCCTTCTCAGCTCAGGAAAAATTGCCTTGACAAGGGAGGCACATGGCAGGAATCTTGCCCGAGCACAGTACCCTGTGCTCTTTCACACTGGGTGTGCAGTGATGCTGTGATGCAGGAGGAGTGATCCTGCTGCCTGCTCCCCAGGGGCATCTTTGGGGAGTGAATTAACATCTCTCTATTCTTCCTGCAGAAGTATATTTAAATATAAATTCTTTGTACTGCTTCTGGTGTTACAATGACCAGTGCACGGTGCCCAGTTTCCACCGAGGGCAAGGATTGATTGATGGGGAGGAGGAGGATCCAGCCTGGGAATGCTGAATCCTTGCAGAGCAGGCACACTCCTGTCATCCTGGAGGTGCCTGTGGTGCTTGGGAATGCTGGGGAGCCCTGTTAACCCTGCAGCATTTCTCTAGGATTAAACAGCATCATCAAACCTTTTCCTGGATCTTTCTGGTAGGACTCTCTGTCTTTGCATCTCCAAACACACCCTCTGTCTTGCAAAAACTATTTTGCCAATACACCATCATAAATTATGGATAATTAAAATCTACTAGTCATGGGATGAGTATTAATCTGCAACCAATGCTCTCTTCTTCTTTTAAGAACCCTTCAGAAATGGGATCTGAGCTGCTGGTATGAGCCTGGGTCAATGTAGCAAATGCATTTCTGTGGAACATTCTGTTTTGACTTTCACAATAAATTGTACATTGCAGTGATAAACATGGTCCCTTTTTCCTTGTTCCAGAACAGCTTTGCCATTCTGGAAGATAAAATATATTCTTTTCCCTTTCTACTTTCGAAGCCAACTCTGTTTTGAAGTAACATAAATCTTTCTTTGGAGATGGAGGGTTTTGGATGGAGAACAAAGTCCAGCAGATTTTTAATTTGAGGCCCATCTCATTCTCATTTGGCAGGCAGCTCCTG